CGTCAGCACCCATCAACTCGTCATATACATCAGGTATAACTCCCAATGCAATCCCTCCCCCCTCCCCCCTCCCCATGATAGGCCCCAGTGTGTGATGTTCCCCTTCCCAAGTCCAAGTGATCTCATTGTTCAGTTCCCACCTATAAGTGAGAACATGCGGTGTTTGGTTTTCTGTTCTTGTGATAGTTTGCTGAGAATGATGGTTTCTAGCTGCATCCAGGTCCCTACAAAGGACACAAACTCATCCTTTTTTATGGCTGCATAGTATTCCATGGTGTATATGTGCCACATTTTCTTAATCCAGTCTGTCACTGATGGACATTTGGGTTGATTCCAAGTCTTGCTATTGTGAATAGTGCCGCAATAAACATACGTGTGCATGTGTCTTTAGAGCAGCATGATTTATAATCCTTTGGGTATATACCCAGTAATGGGATGGCTGGGTCATATGGTACATCTAGTTCTAGATCCTTGAGGAATCGCCATACTGTTTTCCATAATGGTTGAACTAGTTTACAATCCCACCAACAGTGTAAAAGTGTTCCTATTTCTCCACATCCTCTCCAGCACCTGTTGTTTCCTGACTTTTTGATGATCGCCATTCTAACTGGTGTGAGATGGTATCTGATTGTGGTTTTGATTTGCATTTCTCTCATGGCCAGTGATGATGAGCATTTTTTCATGTGTCTGTTGGCTGTATGAATGTCTTCTTTTGAGAAATGTCTGTTCATATCCTTTGCCCACTTTTTGATGAGGTTGTTTGTTGTTTTCTTGTAAATTTGTTTGAGTTCTTTGTAGGTTCTGGATATTAGCCCTTTGTCAGATGAGTAGATTGCAAACATTTTCTCCCATTCTGTAGGTTGCCTGTTCACTCTGATGGTACTTTCTTTTGCTGTGCAGAAGCTCTTTAGTTTAATGAGATCCCATTTGTCAATTTTGGCTTTTGCTGCCGTTGCTTTTGGTGTTTTAGACATGAAGTCTTTGCGCATGCCTATGTCCTGAATGGTACTACCTAGGTTTTCCTCTAGGGTTTTTATGGTATTAGGTCTAACATTTAAGTCTCTAATCCATCTTGAATTAATTTTGTATAAGGAGTAAGGAAAGGATCCAGTTTCAGCTTTCTACTTATGGCTAGCCAATTTTCCCAGCACCATTTATTAAATAGGGAATCCTTTCCCCATTTCTTGTTTCTCTCAGGTTTGTCAAAGATCAGATGGCTGTAGATGTGTGGTATTATTTCTGAGGACTCTGTTCTGTTCCATTGGTCTATATCTCTGTTTTGGTACCAGTACCATGCTGTTTTGGTTACTGTAGCCTTGTAGTATAGTTTGAAGTCAGGTAGCGTGATGCCTCCAGCTTTGTTCTTTTGACTTAGGATTGTCTTGGCGATGCAGGCTCTTTTTTGGTTCCATATAAACTTTAAAGCAGTTTTTTCCAATTCTGTGAAGAAACTCATTGGTAGCTTGATGGGGATGGCATTGAATCTCTAAATAACATTGGGCAGTATGGCCATTTTCACGATATTGATTCTTCCTATCCATGAGCATGGTATGTCTTTTCAACAATGATCATTTACATCACACCTTTTAACATTCAATTATTGATATATTTCATTAAAAATAAAAATTATTATTGTTCAGTTTTCTAGTTGTTTTATATAAATCCTCAAGTCATCCTGTTGGCTTGATTTGTTGATTCAACAATCTAGGCCAGGCACAGTGGCTCATGCCTGTAATCCCAGCACTTTCGGAGGCCGAGGCAGGTGGATCATGAGGTCAGGAGTTCAAGACCAGTCTGGCCAATATGGTGAGACCCCGTCTCTACTAAAAATACAAAAGTTAGCCAGGCATGGTGGTGCCTGACTGTAATCCCACCTACTCGGGAGGCTGAGGCAGGAGAATCACTTGAACCTGGGAGGCAGAAGTTGCAGTGAGCCGAGATCGCACGACTGCACTCCAGCCTGGGTGACAGAGCCAGACTCTGCCAAAATAAATAAATAAATAAAAATCTAGCACCCTATAAATCTTTCAAATAGAGATTAGAGGCTACTGAGGGGGTAACCATCAAGACTTAAGTTTCAAACATAATCTTTAAAAATCACCCCTATGTTTATGAATGAAGAATTCAAAATTCTAATTTTATACTCCGCAAAGTCACTGAACCTCTATTTTGATTACTTTGTGTCATGTCCCAATTAAAAAAGTTTGGATGGAGGCATCTAAAATGATATAGAATGTATTAAACTTAAGTTAGACATAAATATTAAATACTTCTATTATCAATCAAGGGGTCATGTTTCCAAAATATTGCTTGCTAGTCTGTCAGATATTTGTCCAAAGTGAAATACATGTGATTGTGCATCATTAATATATTGAGACAAAGAATAAGCTTATTTGCTACCATCTGTGCTGGTAACTGCTCAACACAAGTAGATACTGATTAATTTCATTTTGTCTGGCACCTCTGAGTTTGTACCTAAAACATTTATATTTTCACAATACCTTTCAAGTGATTACAGTCATGTGTTCTTAGTGATGTAAAATATTAGGATAAATATAATTTTAAAATTTAAAGAAAGAACATAGATTTTCTTTTTAGGCAGGAGAGTACAAAATCATGACATTGACAAGATAAATATTAGGGGGTGAAAACTAATTGCAATTAGGAACATTCAAAATATGTGACAGTAAGATGCATCCTGTAGACATTATCATCTGTTTTACATTTAAGTTTTTGCTCATTTCTTCCAAATATAGTATAATTAATGCAGGAGAAGGCAATGTAGTGAGTAACATAAATTTTCAAGTGGACAAAAAATAGTTTAAAAACTCAGAATAAAATGGGAAAAGTTGTCCACTAATAGCTGCGTTTTCTCCCAGGAGAATGTTGGAAAGCTACAGAGATTCCTGAGAGGACTAGGAATCAGTGACATCAACAAATATCAGTGGACCAGACATATCTTTTTGATATAGTGGCAGAATCCCACCTATTGATTGGATGTACCTACATCAGCAAAGAGATTTTCTAAGTTCAACAATGATGTCATGCTTTAGGACTTATCAAGGACCAGGAAGTAACTAATTTAATTTTTTATTGTTAAATTTATAACAAATATTGGTATTTTTTTCAAATACAACTTAAAATAAAATCACTAAATCAGATTTATTCTGATGGCAATAATTCATATTTTAAGTTGCTAACCAAAACAAAGTAAAATAAGAATGGAAGCACTTCAAACTCTGGTATCAGAAAAGAAGTACTGCATCGTTTTATTTTCCTTTTTTAACTTGTGCCCACACATAGAAGGCATTGTTTCTTCCATTAAATATTTATCTAGCTATAGAAAATTGATACATATTTTTCAGAAGATAATATGCATGTTTTGTTTTATTTTTCTATTCAATGTATATGTCAATAAGGGAAATTGTATATTTTCTCTATGGGTACATTTTCGGTGAGGGAGATAAAGAGAATTATCAGAAAGACAAAAAGTAGTTAAAAAAAGAAAAAGAGGAAAGAGCCAAGATGGCTGACCTGACACAGCCAGGCTAAACATCTCTCACAGAGAGATTCAGGCATTGGGAATACTAGCACACTTCAAGCCGACCTCCAGAGGGAAGGCATTAAGAGTGGATGGAAGGAGGACGAAGATACTGGACTGAAGCGGGAGGAATCTGGAAATCCTGCATGGGGCTGTTGAGCCCTGGGACCCACTCCTGGCCCCCAGTGAATATTGGGTAAGGGGTGAGTTTAACAGGTGAGGAGTGGCCCATCCTTGCCACAGACCCCCATAATCCTAGTTGCAAGAGACCTCAGGACCCCCAGGAACAACTTGATCTGGCAGCAAGAGCTGCTTTGACAGATGCCAGTGCCAGGACTCCAACCTGGGCACAGCTTAGAAGGTTTGTCGGGGGAATGGCTGCAGTGGAGCATGGCCAGGGATGTCTATCACCCAAGGCTCACCAAGCTCCTATAATTTAGACTTTTGCATTTGGGTGACAGTCGGATTGGGAGCAGGGCGGTCCTGCCCATGTTTCAGAGCCGTTTCTATCTGAGCAGCCTCTCCTGCTGCCGGCTTCTCCTGGAGCCCCGGCGTGATCGCTCCCGCTTGCAATGCAGCATCAAATGCCCAACCAGGGTACTTCCCAGATGCCTTCATGATAGCGTCCTCGCTGGCAGTCCATGTCTAACCATCAGAGAAGTCCAGCAGACTGGACTCTGTCTACAAAACCAGCCCACCCACAACCTCTTCTCACTTGCAGCCTCCCCTCACTGCTTTGCCAGTGTGTGCGCAAGGGCCGAAGGACCTCGCCAACCCTCTTCCTACCAGGCATGTGAGTGTGCACCCCACTGCCCCACCGCTGCTGTCATGAGCACACTCTGCTGCCTTGCCCACCCCTGCCAGCCCTCGCTGAGGTGTGGGCAGCCCACCGCACAGCGGTGGGTGCTAGTGCGTGCACAGATTCCAGAACCTCGCGTCCACCAGCAGCCCACCCCTGCTGTGCAGGTTCTACTCTGGCGCAAGTGAGCGTAGTGTACACCGGCGGGCCCACCCCTGTCAGCACCTCACCCCCACTAGTGCACCACCCCACTGACGCAAAAGCACTCCACTGCAAGGCCACAGTGACTGGCAAGCACAAGTGAGCGCTGATACCACTGCCAACAACGCTATGGAGCGCTTCAGCTAGCATTCCCATTAAAGTTTTGGGGCTAGCTTATTAGGAACACTTCAGCACCTCTAGCGGTCAGGGTCATAACCTCAAGGGGCCAGAAGATACAGCTGGGGGGTTCCTGGCACCCTGGAAGCTTCCACAATCAAAGCCAGTCGACTAAAGGCACCCTGTACCACAATCAAACACTAAAGGGCTTCAAAGAAGATAAAAACAAAAGGCTTCATTCAAAGGACAGCGGCTTCAAAGATTAAAGGAACATCAGCCCAGAAAGATGAGAAACAAACAGCATAAAAAGTCTGGTAACACAAAAAGCCAGTGTCTTCTTACCTCCAAATGCCCATACTAGATCCCCAGCAATGGTTCTGCACCAGGCTGAAATGACAGACATAGAATACAGAATATACATAGGAATGAAGGTCATCAAGATCCTGGAGAAAGTCAAAACCCAAGCCAAAGAATCCAGGAAATACAATAAAAAGATACAGGAGCTGAATGAAGAAATGGCTGTTTTAAGATAGATACAAATGAATCTGATAGAGTTGAAAAACAATACAAATACTTCCATAATACAATCACAAAGTATAAACAGCAGAACAGACCAAGCTGAGGAAACAATCTCAGAGCTCAAAGACTAGTTCTCCAAACTAACTCAATCAGACATATAAACAAATAAAAAAGAACGAACAAAACCTCAGAGAAATATGAGATTATGTGAAGAGACCGAATCTGTAACATATTGACATGGCAGAGAGAGAGAGAGAGAGAGAGAGAGAGAGAGAGAGAGAGAAACAGAGAGCAAGCAATCTGGAAAACATATTTAAGGATATAGTCCACAAAAAATTTCTCTCATGTCACCAGATGGGCCAATGTTCATATTCAAAAAATACAGAGAACTCCTGCAACATACTATGCAAGACAACCATCCCCAAGACACATACTTATCAGATTTTCCAGGTTCGTAATGAAATAAAAAATAAAGACAGCTAGAGAGAAGGGGCAGGTCACCTACAAAGGAAACCGCATCAGGCTAACAATGAAACTTTCAGCAGAAATCCTTCAAACCAGAAAAGATGGGGGGCCATCAGCATTCTTAAAGAAAAGAAATTCCAACCAAAAATTTCAGATCCAGCCACACTAAGCCTCATAAGTGAGGGAAAAATAAAATTCTTTTCAGACAAGCAAGTACTAAGAGAATTCAGTAGCACCAGACCTGCCTTACATGAGGTCCTTAAGAAAGTCCTAAATAGGGAAATAAAACACCGTTACTGGCCACCACAAAAACACAACTAAGTACATAGTCCACTCACACCATAAAGCACTTACACAATCCAGTCTGCATAATACTAAGCTAACAACATGATGACAGAATCAAATACCCACTTACCAACATTAATCTTGAATGCAAACTGGGTAAATGCCCCGATTAAAAGGCATAAAGTAGCAAGTTGGACAAAAAATAAACACCCAACTATACGATACTGTCTTAAAGAGAACTATCTCACAGGCAAGAAGACCTAGAGGCTCAAAGTAAAGAAATGAAGAAAAATCTACCAAGTAAATGTAAAATTAAAAAACACCAGAAGTTGCTGTTCTAATTTAAGACAAAACAAACATTAAACCAAGAATGATCAAAAAGACAAGTAAGCACATTACATAATTACATATAGTTCAATTCAACAAGAAGACCTAACTATCCTAAATATATATGCACCCAACACAGGAGTAGACAGATTCATAAAACAAGTTTTTAGAGACCTACGAAAGACTTAGATAACCACACAATAACAGTCAGATACTTCAACACCCCACTGCCAATATTAGACAGATCATCAAGGGTGAAAACTAACAAAAATATCCAGGAACTGAACTCAACACTTGACCAAATGCACCTAACAAATATCTATAGAACTCTTCTAAAACTCTTCCAAAACAACAGAATATACATTCTTCTCATCTGCACATGAAATGTACTGTAAAATCAAACACATAATCAGCCATGAAACAATCCTCAGCAAATTCAAAAAAACTGAAATCATACCAACCACACTCACAGACCAGAGTGCGATAAAAATAGCTAGGAAGATCGCTCAAAACCATACAATTACATGAAAATTAAACAACCTGTTCCTAAATGACATTTGGGTAAACAATGAAATTAAGGCAGCAATCAAGAATTTTTTTGAAAACAGTGAGAACAAATACACAACATACCAGAATCTCTGGTTCACAGCTAAAACAGCACTAAGAGGAAAGTTTACAGCACTAATGACTACATCAACAAGTTAGAAAGATCTCAAATTAACAATCTAACATAACAGCTCGAGGAACTGGAAAAACAACAGCAAACCAACCCAAAAACTAGCAGAAGAAAAGAAATTTTTAAAAATCAGATCTGAACTGAATGAAATTGAGAAAAAAAGACAAAAGATCACATAATGAAAAGTTTGCTTTTGCAGAATAAATAAGATTACTAGACTACTAGCTATATTAATAAAGAAAAAAATAGAGAAGATCCAAATAAACACAATCAGAAATGAGATAGGGGACATTATCACTGACCTCACAGAAATACACACACATACACACACACACACACAAACCCTCAGAGACTATTATGAATACTTTTATAGATGCAAACTAAAAAAGATAAAATACATAATATTCCATTGAAAAATATATTCTCAAGATTGAACCAGGAAGAAATTGAAACCCTGAAGAGATCAGTAATAAATATCAAAAATAAATGAATAGTATAAAGCCTAACAAACAGAAAAAGTCCTGGACCAGACTGATTCACAGCTGAATTCTACCAGATGTATGATTCAGAGCTGGTACTATTCCCACAGAAATTGTTCCAAAAAACTGAGGAGAAGGAATTCTAACCTAATTCATTCCAAGAGGCTAACATCATCTTGATACCAAATGCCGGAAGAGACACAACAAAAAGAGAAGACTTCAGGCCAATAACCTTGATGAACATAGACACAAAAGTCCTCAATAAAATACTAGTAAACCAAATAGCAGCACATCAAAAAGCTAATCCACCCTGATCAAGTGGGCTTTACAGTGTATTTGTTTGCTTAGCATTGTGTAATGATTCATTCTCTTAGCAATCAATAACATATATTTGAAACATAACTGTGCTAAAATTAGGTTTATCACCAATAGAAAAGTTTATTACCCTACCACTTCAAAGATCGGAGGTAACAGAGTAATGGCAGATCAATTTTTGTGACACTGGTGACATAAGAGATGAGTACTGATCTATGGTACAACTGAGATACTAGCTGTCAATCAAAATGCTGAGAGATCAATCTACCATATGTAGTAAGAAAGACTGACTCATATTCATTTTAAGTTCCATGTTCTGTCAGAAGTGAACCTCTCCTTCAATGTACTAAATTTAGCACTGGCTAGACACGGTGATTCACACCTGCAATCCCAGCACTTTGGGAGACCAAGGCAGGCAGATCACGAGGTCAAGAGAATGAGACCATCCTGGCCAACGTGGTGAAACCCTGTCTCTACTAAAAATACAAAAATTAGCTGGGTGTGGTACTGTGTGCCTGCAGCCCAGGTACTTGGGAGGCTGAGGCAGGAGGATCCCTTGAACCCAGGAAGTGGAAGTTGCAGTGAGCTGAGATCACGCCACTACACTCTAGCCTGAAGGCAGAGCAAGCCTCTGTCTCAAAAAAAGAAAAAAATATATAAAGGGAATTAAACACTTTATTTTGATATTCTATAGCAAAGTAATAACAATTAGTAATTCTATGGAGAAAAATTAAACGTATTAGAATTAGTCTATAATTCATTAAAGATCTAATGAAAGTTATTAGTATCAGTCCTTTAGTTAGAAAAATTAAAGGTATGTATTAGTCTCTTTTTTCATTGCTATAAAAATTATCTGAGAGTGAGTAATTTATAAAGAAAAGTTTAACTGGCTCAGGGTTCTACAGGTTGTACAGAAAGTACAGTGACTTCTGCTTCTGGGGAGGCCTCAGGAAACTTACAATAATGGTGGAAGATGAATAGGAAGCAGGCACATCTTACAAGGCCACAGAAGGAGGAAGAGGAGGGGGAAGGTGCTACACAGTTTTAAACAACCAGATCTCACAATTCTCCCACTCACTATCATGAGAAAAGCATCGAGAGATATTGCTAAACCATTCATGAGAAACTTCCCTTATGATCCAATCACCTCCCACCAGGCCCAATCTCCAACACTGGGGATTACAATGGAACATGAGATTTGGGTAAGGACACAGATACAAACCACATCAGTATGCAACAAGACTTTGTATTCAACAATAATTTAAAAGAAAATTAAGAGGAGTGATGTCAGGAAGACAGTAGCATAGAAGATCCCTCAGCATTACTCCCCTTAACAAAAGTACAACTAGAAACTATTCAAAGCCAAGAATGCCACCTTGAGTTCACAAGAACTTGGAAAAGAAGCACAAAAATACCCTGAGCCACAGAAATGACCGAAGCCACAGCTGGTAAACACCCACCTCTCCCAAGCAGGCATAACACTACTCTCAGAGAATTTTCTTAGACTCACGGTTTCTTGGGAAGAAATAAAGGTGGATGTTTAATCTCTTCACCAGTCTGGAAATCTTCATGGGGGCCCACACTGATTTCATTCCACAGGAAGCAATGGGAGGGCCAACAGGGCTCAATGATGTGGGGTAAATTGGAAATAAAACTGGGGACACTGATTGCAGTGACAAGCATGAAAATCCTGGTATCTGTTCTGTTTTCCCATCAGTTGGGAAGCCATACTGAGAATGCTGCCTGGTGTCTTGGTGCTAAAGGGAGCCTAGTATATGTGAAGTCCCAAAACCCTGGTTGGGTTCCTCTCAAAGCCTAAGTGTGTCAAGCAATCCCCTAACCTGCAAAACCTGAAAGGTTACCAATTAAATTCTGATGTGTGCTTAAGTTTTCTTCAGACTGCAATAAGTCATCCTCAGCATGGGAAACAGTGGAAGGGCAGTGAGTAAGTTCTGGTGCCATATTTTAATTCTGATGCTCACTATAAGGCCTCCCCAGAATTCAAAGCAACAAACAGTCCCATGACTAAATTCTGGTAACAATTGGTGAAAGTCTAAAACCACCAAAGAACAACTGCAATAGAAGGAAGAGGTGGCTATTTCAGCAAATGCACAGGAATGAATATAAAGACACAAGGGAAAATCAGGGAAACATGACTTCACCAAAAGAAATCAACAAAGCTACAGTAATGGAGCCAGAAGAATTAAAGATATATAACATATCTAACAAAGAATTCAGAATAATGCTCAAAAAATGCAGAGAATCACAGGAAAATATGTATGGAAAATTAAGAAAAACTGCCTAGCAATAAAAAGAGAAAT